AGTCTAACCCTAATAATTCAACTACGAAAAAGAGCCTAAATGAGGAGGGTGAAATAAAATAATTAGCATGTTGTGTTTACCCTCGTATTATGGGGACAGTGGTGGAAGAAATGGGGAGCTAAAAGCAATTTCTTTTTTACTGGAAGTGAAAGACTCACATTAGCTGGGTTTCAGATTTAGCATGCTGCTTCAGGAGGTGCCGCGTCACTGCAGCGCTTAGCATGCTGGCTTCTCCATTCTCATCTGCACATAGCTTTGACTTACAGTGGCTGGATACTGTATGCAGCATACAGTGGAGAATCCAACACATCCAGACAACTCATATCACTATATACTGTTGTTACTACACAGTATAAGTGACATTGCTGTGTGGATATGAGTTGGTCAGAGGCCTCAGAGAACTTCTAGTTGCTTATTATTGAGCATTTCTGCTAAAGTAACTATTATTTGGCAGTTTCTCCTTGTACATAAAGGATTAGTTGTTTAGAAAAATAGAAGCACCTTGGTTTTTCAGGACAATCATTCCCATGTGGGTTTACTTGGCCTACATTACACAGTTCTTTTATTAGTTCACATTAAATTACTCTAAAAATACAACCTGTTACATAACACTGTTTCCATGTTTTTGCCCTTATTGAATCTGTTGCACGTTTCTATACCAAGAAAGTGTGCACACGATAGCACCCTGCATTTCTCCAGCAACCTAATAAACAGCTCTCACTCGCAGCTGCCACCTGTCACAGACCTGTTTTCCCACCCAGTGTTCCCTTTGTCACAGTCAGGATTACAGAGATATCCAACTTTGATAGTTTTCTCTGATTAAAAAAAAGGTTTTTAACTCTAGCTTATAGGTTTGACCTGTTCACTGATGAGTGTCTCCTTCTGAAGGTGTATCCCTATGAAATGCTCATGATAACCAGTAGAGGGAGAGCTAAACTGCCCAGGGATGTGGACAGAACCAGACTGGAGGTATCAGTTTTCCACCTGACTGTCTGCAATTGATACTTCTTTGTGTAAATAACATGTTACACAAAAACACTTGTAGCAAGGAATGTGCAGTGTCCATTGCTTCTTGTCATTTTTGCAGTGACCCTTTTTATGGCTTTGGTGCTAACGACAAACACCCCACCTCCCACCCTCCCCTCCTTTGTTTTCTCCACTGATTCTAGCGCCACTTAGCACCTGAAACGTTCTTTGACATCTTTGGAATGGAGATCCAGGAGTTTGACAGGCTTCCCCTTTGGAAACGCAACGACATGAAAAAGAAGGCCAAGCTCTTCTAGCACTTAGAGCAGCATGCATATACTGTACATTCATTCAGATAACACACAACAACTGTAATCTAGATGGAGGTTTTGGTTCCTTTTCCACTGTTTTTTGTTTGTTTGTTTTGGTTTTGTTGTTTTATCCTGACATAATCAAGGAAGCCATGAAATAGAGACTTTTTACTCTGATGCTTCCTGAGACTGTGAGCTGAATGATTTGTTCAGCTAGACTTGCACAGGGAACAACGAATGGGAGTCTCTTCCATGTACAAAAATGACAAAGAATGAGAATGAATGATAAATATGGTCATGTTATTTGGTTTGACTGCGCTTGTTTTACTTCTTGCTTTGCTTTGAATAGAACTGCTGTCCTTTCCTTCTTGCTTGTTTATTCCGACTCTTTGTTGCTGTTTATTCCTGTGGAACTTTGTAAGTACAGTAGAAACCTCATGGCACGTTACAAAATGTCCATGCTTGTAGCTTGAACATGTGTCAGCTTTCCTTTGCTTGGGCTGAAACAGTTTTAGTCCAAAGTTTGCAAGAATTGGCTCAGTGAGTCTCTGAATTAAAAATAAAATAAAAATAAATAAATAAATAAAAACATAAGCCACTGGGAAAGCAGTCAGCTGACCCACCAACTGTTTTACTGGATCTACATGCAAATGAATCATCCAAGCGCCTACACATCGTCCTTTGCCTTCCCCTGGCTATTGTACATGCCAAACAGTCATCTGACCCTGACAAAAAATGTCTCTCTTCTCAGGCTCTCATAAACATAGCTAGACACTTTCCCTTTACATGTATTGGAAATACAAATCTTAATATATTTTAATGCTGTAGCCAACATACAGTAACCAACAAATAGATAAAACACCTAATGTAATAAGAAACTGTATTTGAAAGTACTGTTTTATAAATGAAACCCCACACTGCCATTTGTTGTATTGAAATCTAAGCCAATAAAGCTTTAAATCACCATGAACCACATGATCCTCTGCTATACCAAAGGTACCTGCTTCCTATTTTCTGTTCTCTGTTTTCTTCTTTGTATTTCACCAATAAAGACGGTGGTTCAGTGATATTACACAGGGTGAGAAGTAGTTTGAGGACTGGTTGACTTCTGTGGGACCAATCATACATTGGAGCCTTTTAGATTCTTTTTATTCAAACACTAAGTTGTTGTGAGGAAATGCTTTTCAACATAATCTTGGCCTTTTATTCTGATACAAATGTTAATATTATACAGTTACATCAGAAAGTTTCATGTGGGGACAAATATTCCTCAATACACAGAGAAGTCTACAACAAGCATCAAGTAAAGATTTAGGCATTTATTCTTGATTTGATTGCAGATTATGCCCTAAAAGACCCTAGATCATTTACAACAAATCATTAGCTACATATACATATGTAGAGCTGACCATTTCCCAAAGGATGCCACAGTTTTTTAGATTTGTCTTTGTGTATTAATGCATGCAATCAAGTGCATTCAAATGGGAAGTTAGGATGTGAGATGTAGGAGCTGAAGTAGTTTTTATATAAATGCAGTAAACTTCCAAATTATTAATTTTGTTCATTATGGCCAGGTTTTTCTTAAATGCAGTAAACTTCCAAATGATTTATTTTGTTCATTATGGCCAGGTTTTTCTTATTTTATCTTTTGAGTTAGTGTTTCCAACAACATAAAAACTTTGAATAATCACGAAAGCAAAGCTACAAAGCAGTTACCCCTTATTAAGAGGACTGTGGCTCAGGAGGTAGAGTGGGTCGTCTTCTAACTGGATAATTAGTAGTTCAATTCCCAGCTTGTCCAGTCAACATGTTGAAGTGTCCTGGAGCAAGACACCGAGCTCTCTGTGATAACACTGGTATGAGTGCGAATGGTTGAATGGCCAAATAGTGTGAAAGTACTTTGAGTGTGCTGAAAAGCGCTTTACAAGTATAAGACCCTTACTCTCCAGTTTTAATATTGTTAGCATGGTCAGACTCACAGTCAACAGAAAAGGAAAAAAGGGATTAAACATGTAACTACAGTTCAACATGACTGTTGACACTCCAGTAGGAGAGTCAGGTGTTATACTTGTAGTTATTATTGTAGCCTTGAGCAGCTAACCTGAAGCAGACATGAATAGCAAGCTACAGAGCTTTGGTAAGCGTATATCTTTTTAGCTCGACACCCCTCTGGTGTTTTTCATTTTCTGACTCAAGCCACACTGACTCAAGTGAAATCACTTAAGGTAGTTTATCAGGCTTTGTAAAAGCTCCCGCTGGAGCTACAAAATGCATTACGCAACTTTTTTTTCATGTATGCAATAGTACTCCCCAGACCTGTAAATATACTTTGATGTGTAAAATCAGTGTAGCATGTCTTTCCAGTTTATTTTAAAAGACTATACTGAAATTGTAAACATACATAAAGATCCCCTGAAGACATAACAATACTCTGCTTGGAATATAAAGTTGTGTTTAATATGTTTCCCCCACAAAAACGGTTCAATAAAGCAGTTAAAGATTGTTGAAATTGCATTAATCTCCTCCCTTCTAAAGTTCATTGTACTGTGTGTGCACTGGAGGTTTCAACATCTCAGTCTTGTGTAAAGTGCATATTGGACCATAAGTGGCTTCCAAAACTACACGAGTGTAAAAATATTTTAAACTGTCACAATTTCTGTACCTACACCATGCTGCAAAGTGAAGCATCTAAATGGCACGTCAATAAAAAACAAAAACAAACAAAAAACATATGACTGGAGAGGAGTTTTAACACTCTAAAAAACCATGGTGTACTTTCGGAAATGTTCAACACTGGTGCAAAGCATGATGCAATTTGTAGAAAAAATGGACAAACATGCCAGCATGGTCCTTAAAATATCACGACAAAAAATATTTTCTCTCTTCTATCATGTTAATTCTGTGTATGAACTGAACTAGTCAAATAGTATCACTCTTGTACAGCACATGCTTCTGAGAGCTGCTTATTCAGTCATAGGGAGAATTCGTATGGAACAAGTAAGTGTGGTCACAAAAATACTTTGTTTCTCCCCTGCAGAAGGCCGAAATATTATGACTTGCAATAAGAAAGATCTGGGGGTCGCAACACTGCAGGGTGCCAGTCA